TCCTTCACACGGACGAAAGAGGGAGTGCTCAAAGAGCGGTTCCCACAGGCAGGAGGGGCCCCGTGAATAATCGCGGTGCCCCCTACCAAACGGTAATCTTACCGGTCTGCGTGACACAAAATCATCCAGCACATGTATCCAGCAACAATGTTCGCAGACCCACGAACAGTGCAATCGGCAGTTGCGACTGCAACTTGCGTATGCAATGTGAAGGCCCACAATAATAGTCGCTCATATTCGCCTGCGTGAACCCCTGGTTTACCGATTGTTGAAAGAGTGCAAAATGTTCCGTGGTGGGTGGTACATGTACGTACATACGTAGGCCTGTGTCTGGTGCATGTCGTAAGAAACCACCTGCCCTCAGCCCTGATTCTCTGACCCGGTATCACGACCGGTGGTGGCATGAAGATGCCACAGTAACTGAAATGAACGCGGACGATTCTTGTGTTTGACGAACATAAAAAAAAAAATCGAGTTAAGTTGTTGTCAAGACCTCGGTTGTTCCCGTAGGGTGTAAGGCATTTTTTCATCATCACTCACAGGGAATTTACTAGGAAACTTGCGCCACGGATTCGGATCGTTCGTGCATGTGTCGTGCATGTGTGTGTGTGTGTTTTACGAACTAAAAAACGCAACATCACTCCCCATCGCAGGCAATACACCCACGAACAAGCGAGGATCGTGTGTTGCGCTCAAGTTCCGCAAGGTATGTGTGTCGCCCAGGGCCTCCCTGAGGTCCCCGAGGCGTTTGGGTGGCTGTAGCCTGCCGCACGGGGGGAGGTGGCTTCAAAAGGCGGGAAGAGGTATCGTTAGGATAGACAGACTAGGGAAGACATTTTTGAGCCACCTTTGGCAAAGTAGAAAGGGACGATTGGCCATCGGTGATCGGTCCTGTGGGAACAATGCTCTGTCCTCTCGAGGACGCGTGGTCAATGGTCTAACCGGTTGACACTTTTGTTGGTCATGTTGACCTTATCAGAAAAGTTGGATCGAGGGTCGGCTTCACCACTGGCAGAGGTTGGGTTTTGCACATTACTGTAGTCCAAGGTATTCAGTATACATAAATGCTGCCCTTCGTTGTGCCGCCGGCGCGCTGTTTCTTCCCAGTCGAGTCGTGGGTATACGAGAAAGCGTTTATAGGAAGCGCGTTAAGGGCGATATGACTAGAATGTTCCTGTTTCGCCGCCGGGGGTCGAAAACACCTTCGACCGCGAATGCTGTGTATGGAAACGCCGTACGATCTTCCGTCCTGTGTGTATTATCTGGCCCTGGCAAGCGAAAAAAAAAACTGCGCATGCTACGCAATGTCACTGCCGTAGCTTCAAAGAGGCAGCTACGCCTGATGTTTGTCGATGTTCTCGCTGTCTACATACTGTGTGTTTATTTCCGACGTTGCGCGAATCCATTCTTCGGCAGCGACGATCACCACCACAACCATCATCATCACTACCACCGCTAACAAGGATCACTACCACCACCATCATCACTTCGACCGCCAACAACGATGTGATCGGGACATGATATCGACGACAATATCTACATCATCACCACCACCACCATCATCATAATCACCACCACCAACTACAACCACAAATATGTACACCACCAACCACAACCACAACCATCATCGCTACCACCACCGACACAAACAATAACGACGACACTATCAACAACGACACCAGTACAATCACCAATAAAACAACGATAATATCAACAACAACGATGTAACGACGACTCATGCCTAAGAGGAACGACAATGCGACCTGAGGCGTCCACAAAAAAAAAACACGGAAGGGAACCAACCACCCGGCGCTGTCTCTCTCTGAGATAAAAAAGAGCGAGACACAAAGAACCCTCCGAAAAATAGCGTGCACCGCCGGGCAATGTTGAACCAGTTGTCTGTTTTGAATGGCATTTTCTTTCAGGGAGGGGGGGTTCGCAATGAAGAGGTGTTCGCACAGGGTACAATTCTTGGACAGGATACCTCTACAACAGAAACCGGACGGCGTCGGACAACTAAGAAACCAACACCGCCACGTAATCAGACTGAGGGGCAGGAAATACAGTGCTAGCACGCAAACATTCACGGCTACACCCAAAGGCTCCCACACTCACGAATCTCTCGCGCGAAGCCGGTGTGGCGACCTTGATCTATGACTCTTCCAAAGGCCCTGAACAGGTTTCCTTCCCCGGCCAGATCGTACCTGCCACGCCACTGCTGCGCTTAAGTATATCCTTCTATTGACAACACGTGTTCTAATACAGAAGGCAAAACAATCAAAACCTGTCACCCTGTTTACTGTGCCCCCCCCTCCCCCCAAGGCTTCGCTAGCACCGGTCCATCGGGGCAACGGCGCTCGGCGCGTGCCCCTTCACCACCTGGTCGTAGGAGGGCGTCACCATCTGGTCGTAGGCGGGTGGAACGGGTACGGTGGTAGTAGCGTTCTGCTGGAACTGGAACTCCTGGTGGGAGGGCGGCACCGGCGATTGCCCCCCGACGTTGCAGGTGGATTTTCCCGTCGACACCTGAGTCCACTGGCTATAGGGTCTCGGGCCGCACTCCAGCCAGCCCTGGCACCGACCGTAGTTCTTGCTGTCCCAGGCGAACAGGTGACGTGCCACCTGCGACCGACGACGCCGTGCGGGACCGTTGAGTGCAGGTTGGAAATCACCCGATTTGTCGGGGTACGAAGTACTTCCTCGCTTTCGCTCTCCAGCAGTGGTGCGTGTTTTCACTACATTTATTGATTTTTCGAAGGAGAAGCGATGGTGAAAGTGGCTCTAAACGGACCGCACAATATATGTTTGAAGCCGCCTCGAAAATGATTGTGATGTGTTTGCACCCCAGTCCCATTTTGCGGGACGCCCGTTCGCACACAGCTTCGTTGTTCACGTGTCGCCTCCAGGCACTCATCGGCCATCACCTAGGAAATGACGCAGCAGCCGCACCACAAGGAGAGGCAGCAGTTCCCGTACTTGTTGATGGGTATCCCGTAGTGCCTGGCGACCCGAGAGCGGGACTTGGCGATGGCGTACGTCCCGCAGAGCATGATGAGGATGCCGCCGAAGCCGAAGACGCAGTCGATGAGGTAGGCCGCGACGACCGCGTAGAACACGCCCTTGAAGAGACGTGCAGCCTGGGCCACCTGAAATGGATCGTTTTTTTACACAAGCGAAAACTTGAGCAGAGCTCTCGAAAGCACCGTCCGAGAAGGAATACAGACAAGAAGCGAAATAGCGATGTCTACAAGGACGCCCCAAACTGACGTGAAATAAAATATAACTGCTTCTGTGCAACACGGACCTTCCAATGGCTCCACCGCTTGTATCACGACCGCGGGCGCGCTTGCTACCAGCAAAAATAATCTAGTAATGATTGAACGATCATCGTCTCGTTTTGTGGGCACCAAAAACCTCGCGGCAGTAACAAGAAAAACGTGTGTTGTGTGGGCTCAAAAACCTCGCGGCGGTTACAAAACATTTGTTCACACACCTGGCCCACGGTGATGCAGGTGCACAGGCACGCCGTGACGCACGAAGGAAAGTGCTCGAAGCAGCCGCACAGCCCCGTTGTCCACTCCCCCCTGGGGGCGTTGGGGTACGGAGTGGCCTCCTCCGAGATGTCGCATCTTGCCACCAGCGCCGGGTCCAGGCCCGCGTCGTCGGCTACCCTCTTGCCGGTCACGACCTTCAATGACGGTTTCGTTTTTGACGGCTCGTTTTTAGGAGGGGGAGCAAGACGGGTGGCTAACTATTCAACAGCACGGGAAATCTCCGCACGTACCACACGATGAGTTGCTCCACACTTCCAAACACTGCATGCGGCCCCCGTTAAACCTACCCCGCTGTTTCTAGTACCACCCGTGCCGAACCGTCCCCCAGGGACGTAGTCCGCGAGTCCACGCACCCTTTTGGCGTTTTCGTAGTCTTTCCACAACCTGTCCGGGTCTGGGCACTCGTCGTTGGGAGGCTGTGACTGCACCACTCCGTCCTCGGTTGTGCCGTCGGCCTTCTTTCCACCGGTTTCGAGGAGCGTGCGCTTCTTCCTGACCTGAGGGATCGAGGAGATGTGCCGCGGCCGTGTGCGTTGCAAAAGCTCGTGTCTGGCGACTTGTTTGTTTGTTGTTGTTGTTGTTGCTGTTGTTGTTGGTGTTGTTGTTGCCCTGGTGCAAGATTGGAGAAGTGTTTGCCGTGATAACATGGTTATGTGCGGGCATTTGTATCTGTTTCTGCGGGAGGTCGCGGCACCCCTTCGGCTGCTGTCGCTGTCACTTTCGCTTTCGCTGCTACTGCTGCCGGTGCTGCTGTCGCTGTCGCTTACGCTGCTGCTGCTGTCATTCCGCTTTCGCTGCTCCTGCTGCTGCCGGTGCGGCTGCTGCCCGCTCGTCCTGTGTCGTCGCCAGTCGACTCTTTCCCTCCGGTCACATTTGAGGCTGCTGCTTCCCCTGCTGCTGCACCGCCGCTTTCACTCTCTATCCTCCTTCTTTTTCTGTGCTCCGCCCTCTTGTCCAACTCATTGGCCCTCCTCTCTATCTCCTCACGTTCCAACAGCTATTTCAGTGCCTCACCATCATCCCCCACTCTCGTGATTTGAGCGTCGATCGCACTCCGCGACTCCCGCAGCATCTTCATCGCGGGCTCCAGGCCTGGACGACGAAAATCAACACCTTCGATTACAGGGTCTCCTAAGCACGCCGAAAGCTTTTGTAGACAATCCCCATCGGCCTCGGCGGACCTCAGCTGATCTGCAGCCTGCGCGCGCGAGAGTAATCACGTATGTGTAGTCGTGAGCTAATTACAGTGTGTGAGAATCTCGCCGTCTTTGCTACACATTTTAGATCAAAATCTCACCTTCGCACCGCTGGAGGAGCCGGCTGTGTCCGACATAGCTTCGTGTTGTGGCACACTGAAGCAAAGCTGATGTTGACTGCTTGGGCGCTGTCGACCCCTTGAATTCTCAAAAGGACGCCTATGTCCGATACAACTCGCTGATTTTAGTTTAAAAAAAACAACTATTTAGCCTAGAGTCTATGTCTCAAGCTTGCATTCTTCCTTGTGTGCACCAATTGCAAGTTCCATATCCTCGCGACTGATGTCACACAAAACGACCAACTCGGTTTTACCGCATTCTTCGATGTCACGTGTCGATTCCATGGATGTAGACAAAGCTGTGTGGGTAGAAGAGGTAGGCTCCTTATCACAAAGCACATACAGGTCGAAATCGGAAAAGGTAATTTCCTTTTCAGCTCCGACAGTCATCAACAAATCAGAAACAGAAACGGGATAGTGTTTCTGAATAGACTGTTCGACGTCTTCGTCAAGGTCCATCGTTGCCTGATCCGGGCACAAGACTTGGTCTTGTACCTGGGTTACTTTCATCGTCGATCGAAGTTAATGTCGTCGAAGGGCTGCTGGTAGCGCGAGGGGGAGGTCGAGAAGAACTGAAATTTCGAGTGTCGTTCGACGCATCTTGCGCGACTTTCCAACTACGGGTGCAGCGAGATACGGGCATCCACCATCTTGAAGATCTCTGCCGATCCGACACAGGTAAAATCCTCTTGGTACCGATCCGTGTTATTTCACACTGGATCGTAACTTTGTTTTGCAGTGTCTTCAATTGCTTCGGCCGTGTCGTGCTGCTGAAAATGCACAGCATTTGATATTAGATGCATCTCGCTTCCACGAGGAAGCCACGCCGAAGACGGCAGTGAAACAGATCCTTGGAAAACGACACCCCGCGTTTTGATACTTCTGACCCGATCCAACAAGGGAGATTGACAAGTGTGGGGGAGTGGAGACTCAGTTTCATACAGCCACTTCGAACACAGAAAACGTGGGGCTTGGTAGGTCATGGCCAAAAGTGAGAGAGTGAAATGGGTCACGTAGGTTACGACAGCGCACCGAATTTCGGACGGGAGTCGGGACTCGGTCCACATCGGGATTTGGGACGCCGAAAGCCCTCTGGCTATGAATGTCGTGGGCAAGAATGAACAAGTGAACTTCGTGATGTCCGCTTCCGTGAAACCCTATTTCTTTAACGATAACACAACAATGTTTGCAAACTTTTCACGTCCAATTCTTCAATAGTGTCGTGAAATACAATTGTAGAAAACCTCGGAGTTTATTTTCAGATTAATACTCTTCCCTCAACAAGGAAACCTCGTCTCAGCTGACAGTGAAACAGATGTTTAATTGCAACGACGCCCCGCGATGTTATGCTCCTGATGCTTTCCAACCACGGGGAAACATGTGTGGCGGAGTTGAGACTGAGTTTCACGCCGGGACTTTATACGCCGAAAACCATGGTCATGGAACCATTTACAAGGTCAACGTGGATGACCATGTGGTAATCGATTCAAGCTGTGGCATGCGACCGGTGCCGGCTGGTCTCGTCGACGCAGATGTAGCGCATGCCAGATGGGTGCCGGCACGTCAATAACCTACCAAACCGACAAGAGAAAAGGCTGTGCAGGGCGAATAATATGGGGGAATGCACAACGGACTGTACAATTAGCTTACTTAATACACCGCACGGGACCCTGAGATCGGTGGACACGCTACGTGTGAAATTCCCTCATGTCGATGGGCCGAACCAAGAGAGTCTGCTTTGTCCGCTTCTGTGCGCGAAAGCCGACAAAATTTGGGGAGGGGCCTTGATTTGCAATGGCCCAACCCAGGCCCACTCAAGATGTCGCGAGACGTGCGCCATAGGTCGAGGTCGGCTTTTGAGACCCGGTCGGGCGAGGGAAGGGGAACAGAATGCCACGGGAACACGCATGGAACCTAAAACCATGGTTTCCGCCGATGAGACTGAAGCTTACTCCTCCACGCTGCATCTTCGGAAATGATGGACGAAAATCGGCGACGGTCGCCATTACCAGAGCGGTTGAAGCAACGGCAGATAACTTCTCTGAACGCGCGTGAGCGAACGCTTCGAGATAAAAAGAGGCACATGTACATAGGGGTGGGTCCAAACATACAATGGAACTTCGGAGCTACGAACAGAGGAACCAATTTTGCAACATACCCCAGACCAAACTCCCGCCTGGCAGGCCAGGCGTTGTAGTCACGGGTGAACGTCAATCGCCACCCACAAACTCACTGCGCCAAACACAAAAGGAGTCAGCAGACACCTCCCAGCACGACGGCGCATATTCACAGTAGAGAAAAGGCTGTGGCGGCGAAGCACCACAATGCAGCAGGCAACAAAGAAACATATGTACCTCCTCAACGTGTGTGCGGGTATTGGCTATTCGTGGCGAAAGGCGGGTACGCACAATGGCATAAATCAACGAGCAAGGTGTCACAGCGGTGGGCATAATGACGGTACTGTAAATGCGTGCTGACAGATTCCCGACAAACTCGATCGACAAAGGGTGAAAAGGCCAGACGTGGTTGCCGAACAAACTGCAAAGAAAACTGACCCAAGGTAGTGATTGCAACAAGAGCACCATCAGATACGCCAACTTGCAAGCCGAAAATACGACTCATTGCGGTCTCCGCCACCATATTCTTCGACAAATGCAGCAGGAGAAGCTAGAAGGACTCTGTTGCTCCCCCGTCCAACCTGCGTATCGCCCTTGCTGAAAACGCAAAAATGAAGAGGGCAAGGTCGGAAGTGGGAGGGTTTTCAGGTGTAATGGCGCTCAAAATGAGTTCTTGGGGAGAGCATTCTCAACCACGGACAGTATCAGTGTCATTCAATCCATATGCCAGTTGATCATTGCAAAACAACGGGTAACCTAATAGCAGTGCGGGAGGGAAGGGGGGAGGATGCCCTCGCTGGGACTGCAAAGGATAATCGTTTGCATAAAACAACAGCCGGATCTATCGAGGTTGGGCTCTCAAATCATGAAGGACTCCTATCACTCCAAGAAGGATCCTGGGGAATTCTTGCATATTGATGTTGAACAACAACCACCCCCGCCAGACTGAAGGGGCCAACACATGTTTGAAGATTCTCGAAACGCGTACGGAAAGATTGCTTATTGAGGAACATCTAACATAACCGCGGCGTCCTCACCAGTTCATCATTTTTTTAATCGTCTGGTTTGCATACTAGTGCTCGTGCGGTCAGTCGTATATCGATGTCGTCCGAAGGACGTCACGAACTTAAGATTTCTTGTCCTGATACAACCATGCCAACATGTGTGCCGTGGAACCACTGAAAGCATCGATGGATCTATACAACAGGAGCAGCTGCTGTAATCAGGGTCTGCTCGTACCCTCTGACGACATCAGCCTCAGAACACTCAAGCTTGGTTATCTCAGGCCATAGACTACCGTAAGGATGCGAGAGAACGCACGGGGGTACGATCGATTTTCAATGCGTATTTTCTCCATAACCAGAAGGGTGCGAGCGCCAACTGATACCTCTTTCAGGAAACCTCTCGACGAGATATTTCCAAAGCCACCCTTTTCGACAGCCAGTGGTACCCTCCTGGTTGTGGACTAAAAACGCTTTGAAAATCGATCGTACCCCCGTGCGTTCTTTCGCATCCTTACGGTATTCGTCGAAAATTACAGATTGCCGTGTGCCACGGCTGCTTCCCCAAACGCTGTTTTTTTTTGTGTGCTTCGAACGCGATTAAGTCCGAGCACAGATAGTGGTAACTTCGAAACCGCTAGCCGACGCCGATAGTGCGAATCCCCATTGGGTGAAAACATAGTACAAATTCCGGGGGCAAGAGAAAAAAGTTGAAAAGATCGTGAATACCAAAACTTCGGCATCAGCACAGTTGATGAGACTATTCGTCGTAGAAGCGTAACCTACCATTACACTATCGAAGTTGGCCTTGTCGGTGCAGTGGTTTCCACATGACCTTGGCACGCTTGATTTTTCATCCACGAACGACCCGAACGGGTGTCGTGGTTCTGCCTGTCACGAGCTTGTACCACCCTTGAACCCAGTGGAAGGCACGGGTTAGCATGGTTGTTTCACCTTCAGCGGGTGCGACACATGACCGCGATCGACGCTGAAGAGTTCAAGAAAAGAGGGGCGACTCAATGGCTTCATCAACGTTTCCTCGTCTCTCTAATGGCAGACACAGGCTAACGGTTGGGTATCAAAGTGCGTCTGTAACAGATTTCTGACATGCATGCGGTCGGTCGGAAGTCGGCAACGTGACAAAGAACCACCAAAAAAATGCAGGGAAGTCGGCGAACACCCATCGTCAACAACAGGTGACAGGCAGTAGGCAATCAGCAGAACCTGCTCAGGGTTATCAGACAAATCGTTGGTGCCGCACCATGGAAAGATCGGTCATGGCATTTGTTTGAAATCTTGGACACCCACGTTCGACAAGAATAGGGCGCATGCATGAGGTATTGAACGCAGAAACCCAATTTGTTTAAGTCCATCGCGCGCCCGTCCAAAACAGGTCACCACGACATCAGGCCATCAAAATCAACATCTCTCTCTCTCTCTCTCTCTCTCTCTCTCTCTCTCTCTCTCTCTCCCTCTCTCTC